AAAAAAAAATTAAATATAACTGCCAGAATCTAAGAAATTCTACGTAAATTTAAAAAGTGTTTAAAAATAAAAATCAACATAAAAATGCTAGAATTGGAACACTTTTGTTAATTTTTGTAATATTCTACAAGTAAGCACATGTTTTAATTCTTTAAGATTTCGTTGTTTCTCAAATTTTTAAAACTAGTAAAGTTTTGTATTAATTTTTACAAAATTGTACATTTTCATGAAACACTACTTGTAATAATTTCTTTATTTGAGAACATTGTAATTTGTGATACTATTTTACAGATATTTTTACAAAGAAATAAATGTTTCAACGAAGATATAAAAATTTCTACAAATTTCTATTTCAAGTCAATTTTTTGTAGTTATTTATAGAAATTTTTTTCCGCTAAGGTCGCCGCTTTACAATTCAGATGCAGATTCGATATTTTTTTATTTCTATTGCAAGGGAGTAACTGCAAAGTAACGATTCGTTACTTTTCGAGTAACTGTAACTGTAACGCGTTACTTTTCAGAATTGGTAACTTGTAACTGTAACTAGTTACATTGTTAGCGAAAAAACTGTAACTGTAACTAGTTACTTTTATAAAGTAACTTTCCCAACCCTGCATTTTACTTACGTATTATTCCGTATGTTTGCTTTGCAAAATGGTATTACATTTTATTTTAGACACCTTTGAGAAAGGTATGGATAAGTTAAAATTAGCAGAAAAGGCCTCTGATCTGGATACGGATGTGGAAGATACTTTGAAAAGATCACGCCACAGCAGGCATGTGGTTGATATGGAACTATCCGACGACGATGAATGCTCGAAGAAAGTGGCGTTAGATAAATTTCCGGACATTAACTTGTTTTCCGATAATGTTCCCGATCTGACAATGAGTAGTACATCCGCGTCATTGGATACCAACGTTATTGCCACGTACGAATGTCCAGTGATCAATTCCTCCAGTTCTAACGAAAAAATGTGCCACACGGAAAGTAAAAATTCGTGTTTAGAAACTAGAGTTCGTCGTAAGTTTTCTTCACTCGTCGAGAAAGAATCGTGCTCAGATGAGAAAAATAAAGTACCAGATTATACAATAAAGAAAACATCTAGTGATATCAGTGAGTTATAGTATTTACAGATATATTTTATTATACTGTTTTTCAAATGAATTGATGTTTAAATTAGGTTATTTTTCAGATATACTGTCCGAAATTGTTCGGAAACAAAATAAAATTTTATTAGAAATAAAAGCGATGAAGGAACAGATTGCGGAATTACGAAGCACTATAATATCTACATCATATGATACATGCACTGCGACTAATAAAAACAACTCACACACATTCAAGGCCACAAATATGGGAAATGTTGACGGGAAAAAATTATTTATCGAAAATCTTGAAGAACTGCAAGATTTAGAGACGGCATTGGCGAACGAAGACTTTTTTCAACGTGCGGTAAATGAAATTACATTTTTTACAAATTTTGTATCGTTAATTAAAATCATAATTATAATATGATTAAATTAATAATGACGTTCATTTCTAGGGAGAAGCTCTATGCTGTATAGGAGGAAGCGACGTAAATCGTATAACTCGCAACGTACTGTTTGCACTTCTTTCCAACAAAGTTGCTATGCAGTTTAGTTGGGCCGGCCGTGAAAAAAAGGCATTTAATGGCCTCAACATAACGAAATTAATAAAAGGTACGTTAATTATTAATCAAATCATTTCATTGAATGATTAGGAGCTTCATTTACGGTAATAAATTTTTAATACTTTTTTTTATATTCAGCTGTCGTAAGCAGCCAGAAGGTGGATACAAAACCACAAGAAATTGAAGGAATTATTAATAAGTGGCTGATACAAGCAACGCTTAGATTTAAGCGAGAAAAGTAAGTTCCAAATTTATCGTACGCAAGTGTAAGTACGTTGCATATAATATAGATATTTAATATGTCAGTTGTGTTTTCAGATCCAAAGAAGAAAAGCAGACGATCAGCGAAAAAGACGACAATTCTAACTCTTCGTAACTCTTTATTTAATGTTTATTTTGTTTTCATAATGTTTATTTTAGTATCATTTTAGTATCATAGTGTTTATTTTGTTCTCATAGCTTTAGTGTTTATTTTGTTCTTACTGCTTTATGCAATATTTAGTTTGTTCCTTTATGTACAAAATGATACATATATACATTGAATTAAGGATCAATCTTTTTGTTAACACTGGTAATTTTGTTAACACTGTAATATCTGTATATCAATAACAAATAATTTGAATAAATTTATAGACATAAATATATTTGAAGGCAACTCTACACGTGAATAGTAATTTCTAATATGGATGTGGGATAAGAAAACTGACATATGGAAATAAATTTTTTCAATATGTTTAACAATACATAAAAACAAATAAAGATATATAATTTATGCTGCATAAATATATGTATATATGTATACAACATATACATAATGCAGTATAAGTTTAATTAAATATACTTTTACTAATTTTTATGTTTTTAGATAATTTTAAATAAGGCACATGTGTATATGTATACTATAATACAAAGAACATATATATTATTTTCAATAAATATAAATAAATATATTTAGGTTTATGTGTGCAATATATTGTATATTGCATATATACAGGGTGTCTCAGCCCACCCATCCCACCCAGTTTTTTCGAAAACTACACATTTTCGGAATAAATGTTCCATACAAAAGTTGTATTAGGGTTTGAAGACGGACATATGATCCCGATATGAGTCATGTCGTAGATGTTACTGATTTTAAAAAAATTTAAAAGTGACTAATTTTTTAAATGGAACTTGATTTTTCCCTTGAAATAAAAGTTG